TGAAGACAAATGTTATATTTTATATCAACAGAAACTTTCAGAACAAGTATACTGCTTAGTGGTTTATCTCTATTCTCAGCATACACTGAAACTCTACTATAGGATTAATTGGTTCTATACAGAACTCTTGGGGTTCTACGTGATGATGATGATGATAATTTTATAATTCAAAATTTCCCTGCCCGCTAAGACCCAGTACCATGATTCATTATATGGTAATAGTAATGGAAAATCATATATGAAACATGGTATATGTTATCTATTCTTAAGAAAATAGACATAGAGCTTTAATTAGAAAAGCATTTTTTAAGGTCAAGATATTTTTCCCCATGGCAACTTTAAGGAATCAAGATATACATTTGTCAGAGAAAAATAAGGAAAAAATGTGTAAAATTAGTGTTGGACAGAGCTGTACAAATGTACAACTTGAATACACTACAAACCTTTATTTTTTTTCTATTCACTTCCCTTATTGCCGGCAGAATTTGGGGCAACCCCCACAATTCCTTTTGTCCAAACAGCCAGAAGAAAGCCATGCTACAGATAGTCATGCTATAGTACAAGACCATTTCTGTGGTATATTTGCATTTCATGGAGACTTAAGGATAGTAGTGTAATAAGAAACATATTATGCTCTAAGACACAATAATCTAGCAGCAATAGGGTAATAAAAGATGGGGGGGTTTAGTATTTCAAATGCAGAAAATATAACTTTAAAAATACCCTGGTTTACTATAGACTTTGCAAATAATGTATATTTAACTCAATCTAGAAAAAGGACCAAGTATTCTGACCCTTGAAAGAGATATTCAGGATAATGGAGCATTTCTACCCTTAGAAAGTTGTACTACTGCTGGACTGCAAAATATTTATAACTAGGGATTTTTTTCAGCTCAAAATGCAGTACATCCAAAATGATAAAAAGAGTCCAAATGTGAAAGAGCAGGAGGTTTCAAACCCCTAATTCTAAATATTTGGTTGTACACCCTAAACCAGAAAATTATTGCTAAAGAATGTCATCCAGAACTGGTGATACTCGTCCCATTTTTCCCAAGTGGGGCATCCAGGATCTGAATAACTTCTGAGATCAAGAAAAGATGCTATGGTTAAAAAACCAAATCTAGTTCAGAAAACAAAACTTTTTGTGGGAACTGGATCAGAGAATAGCTTTTCAGCCTTTTTTAATTGGGATAGCACTCCCTTTGAAAACACATTTGTAATCAGTTAATTTCTTGTCACTGAATTTCAGGTATGAAGCTTAGGAAGTACACCAAATCTATTTATTCTTCACAAGGCTGACATGGCTATGGTGACACATACCTCAGTTACCACAAGGTCAGACTACTATCATGAAAACTTTTTTGGCTTGCAAAACACTGCAACAAAAGTTCTGATGACTGGATCTCTGGCGTGAGTGAGTTCTTTCCCAACTACCAATCTGTTTTTGAGTTCATTTAAAGCTCTGGTTATTATGTTAAAAACCCAAAATGACACCTGGAAGATTTATTTTTAATGTGCAATTCTGGTCTATGATCATAATAAAAATTCTATTCTATTCACCTGGAAGACCTGTCCTCCTGTTTGCTCTTGTTGCTTGCCTTTGAAATCAATGGGGAGGAGCTGCTGGGATGCAGGAGAGTCTTGCTGGCCAACAGTCTCCAAGTGATATACTTTGGCCTTAAACTTCCTTCATATAATTTTGTTGCCTCATCAAGGTATTTTTTATTCCAGCAAGCATTCCACCAAACTATTTTATTATTCCTGGGTATTCTTGTTTCTTCAATTTAAAAAAAAA